ATACCGAAAAGCATACAGGGATAAACCACCTACCAACTGGTGCCCAGGGGATTGTTTTTGGTGTCCCTTAAAAAACCGTACCATGGCTTTGGTCAGTTACAACAATGGCTACTGACCGCTTGCTAAGCTGCCCCAAGGAGAACCGGCCACTTTCCACGTTCTCGCTGGGCTGTGACCAAGGAATGCCAGCGCCTTTGACACAGACCCGCTGGTGCAGCGCTACGTCCATGCCCTGAAGAGGCGTGGAAGTCAGCGAACGGAGCACGGAAGCGGTCGGTTTCGAGAAGTCCAGTTGTGGGGTTGCAATTACTCTTGGGGTGGAACCCCCCCTTGAACCTGTAATGGACCCAGTTGGTTGAATTTCACCTGTTTTTCCGGGCTGTCCAAAAGGTGAATCAATGGGGAACGGCGAAGGTGTGATTCATCATGGTCACGGAAGGACGGCGAAAAATTTGTGGGCAGCATGGCAGCAAAGCCATTTCTTCTTGTATAAGGCCATCTCCCTCCCAGAAATGCGTCCGTGCCTTGACAGCTTTTTCCCAGATATCCAGCAATGACTTACTCGTGCAACGAAAAGCCGCATGTGAATGAGCGTGGCATGTCAGTGCATGGCACCCCTCCCCGTTCTCGAGTGTTTGCGCGACAGGATGGTGACCTACATGCAGACGGCCGGGTTCTCTGCAAGGGCGGGGGTTCATCTGTGCACGTGGTTGGGCAGTCATCGGTGCACGTGTCCAACTGGTCATCTGTACACGTGTCATGTTCAGAATCCATGGTAATTTCCGGCCAATCGGCCCGGTCATCTGTGCACGTGGTAACAAAAAAGGATGTGTTGCATGTGTTTTTTCCACATCAGAAGCCGGAAGGGTGTTCATCCCCCCCCCATTGTGCGTGAGTTGGTTCGCGTGAACATCGAAGCTTACCACCCCCCCCATCCCCCCCCCACCCCGCGTCGCACCTGCGCGGATGACCGGAAATCACGTGTGCGGAAATTGCGGAACAAACATGTTGCGTTGTCGATGGCGTGCGCAGATGACCGCGTTTTCCGTGCGCGGATGACCCCCACCCTCTGCAAGCGATCAATAAGGAGCCCAGCACTGAAACTTGGACACCTGGGATTGAACACGGGGCAAGCCCCTCCAAAGACACCTGAAAGGGACCCCCCTGCCAAGGAATCTCCACCAGACATGTGGGGAAACCAATGCATTCGCCAGTTAGCAAGCCATTTTGACTCCTCATTCCCTCCACAGTACGGAGGCCGTTTGCATTTTCTGCCGCGGAGGTTTTTCGTTTTTCCCTGGTCGATGCGTTCTTAGGTGCAGCCCAGCCCAGAGCTCAGACTGTGGCCCTATTTTTGGAACAGGGGTCCTTGTAAGAGGTGTGGTAACTTTGAGGATGTCACTGAAAAATGGGCCCAGTATAGTCTCACTCACTGAGCTCATGGACTTAAGACTTATTTTGTGAAGACCATTTGAGGGCGAGCAACCAGTGTGGACTTTATTTTGCAAGTCTACTCAGGATGTGAGTATTTGGAAAGGCTGATGTAGAAGCTTGAATATTGGGCGTCCGAGAAAGCTGTGAGTCAGTTGAACCTGTCACACGACTGCTCTTGAGAGCTTTCTGCAACTTCGCGAATCTCTTCCGGGTGTGGGGAATGAACCGTTTGGGGATTCTCTGAAAAAAAAATCAAGCCGTAGGCGATGGGATTTTCTCGGGGTTCCCTTTCTCATTCCCCGATCGCACCGATCGCACCGATCGCAAGTGATGGTCGTGCAGGCGCCGACCCTTCGAAGCAGGGCCACGTGCCAGCGCCGGAGGCGAAGCCTGACGAGGCCGAGGGCGCGAGCGCCGGGCGCCTGACTTGAGTCCAAAGGGAAACTTCCTGCGGCAGCTGCATTGGAACTCTCTAGGCTTGTGCTCCACTTTTGCAGCTAAACAAAGTCTCCTTTCTTTTTGGGCTTGCTCCACTTGGGCAGCGGAAAAAAACAACAACTCGGAAAAAAAGAAGAAACCACAACGTCTCGTTTGTTTTTTGTTTTGGTTCCAGACGTGGTTGCCTGGGCTAGCGACCAGCTGCGAAACAGACCGCCACGTGGCCCTGCAGGTGGGGCTGCCAGTGAGGCCGTCCGAGCGTCGGTTGAAGCTGAGGGGTGGACACGAGAACCCTCCCAGACGCTGGAAAGGTGTAGGACTCAAATCAATTCATGGGAGACTTGACTAGTGGTCCAAGCAGTCAACTCAACCATTTGCTGAAGAGCATGTAGAAATTCTGCTGGTTTTAAAGGGAATCAATCTCACTGCTGGATTCTATTTTTTCCAGTGGACTTAAGCAAACGGAAGTGAAGCACTTGCACTCTCCTCTCTTGCTTCTCTGCTTTGCCAGGCAGAACATCCGTGACTCTGACGGCCGAGACCACTCGCCCGAATTTGTGGATGTGAACGACGCCAGGAGGGGATTGGCGACTGCACCAGATTTCTTTCGGTTGCTTTTCCGGTGAAGGCTGGCTAATACATATAAAGGAAAACACACTTTGTTCAAGTTGGGGGTGGAGATCACTCTGTTTGCCAACTCGAATTGGTGAGCTGTGCAAGGTTCTTACAGTGGTTCTTGCCCATGATGAAGGTTGCTGTCAAAGTGAGCCCTTCAGCTTGATGAATTCTTATGCTGCCAGATGGATTGGGGAACTCGAGTGCGTTTGTGAGACTGGGATTTCCAGATGGGACCCCTTTCTTGTGGGCAACCCCATGTTCCAAGGGTCATGGAGAGTCCAGGTACTTTGCCTGGGAAACAAACCACCACAAAAGCAATGGCGGCAAACACAACCACCATTGTTTACCTAAGGAGTTTCATGATCTAAATCTGGTGAGTCATTCTTTTGGGGGTTGAACCCCTTAGGGCGCATCTGTTGGACCTGGGGAAAAAAGCAGTGGTTTGGTGGACACCACCCCGCCGCTTCGAGCCACTTCGATCGATTCGCCAGTGCCCGGGACGCGCAGCGGGGCATCGCCTTCGGCAGCCGCCAAGACGGGCGCGCGCTGCCCTTCGTGGGCATCGGCTTCGCGCGGGGCATCTGAGGAGTCGGCCGGGTGTCCTGGCAGGATCCGGGGCTTTGGGGGACCAGAAAATCGGGGTTCCCTTGTTGGGGAGCTCCAACTTGGATTGGTGAATGTGTGTGTGTGTGTGTGCGTTTCACCTCGGAAGTTGCTTGTGCACACTGGGTGTGTCTATTTTACGAGACTACCCTTTTTGGGTTTGAAAAAGGAAGCCAAAAGGAAAGTAAACATTTGGTTACCCTCAATCGGTGGTTTGGATTGGTGGCTTGGAGATTTGCACCCCTGGTTCTTATTGAAAAATCGGTGTGCCTTTTTTGAGGGTGCCACTTTTGGGGGGGGGGGTTTAAAGGGAAGGTCCCATTATTTCTACACAACCCAATGAAGGACCTCTAAAGTGGTTTGTTTCCTTTTGGCGAACCCTGCAACATTCCCCCTATTTTGGGAAACCCCCAGACGTGCCGCGCCATTTTTCGCGAGCGCTTTCTCCGGGTGACAAGCTGAGAAGGGGCCGTGGAATGAAGGTCCGACCTCTACACCTAAGGACGTGAATCAAGGTTTATGTAGGCCCCACCAGGAACCCATAAAAGCAAGTAGTAGAACCAACTACTTAAACTGCCAAGAGGTCACGGGTGGAGGTCTCCTGCAGTTTGTTTGAGGCTTGGAGTGCAGATATGCCCACTGAATTGGTGAAGAGCTCATTTGTTGGTGAGCTTCATGACGGGGCCTAGAACAGCACTTTGAACCTCACTGGTTGGGGCCATCCCACCACTCTGCTGTCGAAAGCAAGTTGTTTTCTTTGCACTTGTGTGTGTGTGTGATGGTCTTTGGCTGGTGCCCTCTCCCAATTGTGCCGCTTGTCTAGTTGTAGGTGGCTCAGGCACCGGAACATGCCGATCAGACGCCTGCAGAGAGAGAGAGAGAGAGAGAGCGGATGAAACCGCCAGAAGCCGACGCCCGAGGCAACGGTCGCAGTTGGTACGGCTGCAACATTTCGGGGCGGGGCAGACATCAAGGATGTGTCCACGGACTTCTAGACCGGAAAAACGGAACTATAACTCCGTAAGCTGCTGGGGCTTATTTACTTCGACAAACGGCTGGAGCGAGTTCTTAGGCAGAAGAGCTTTTTTTTTTCTTGAGATGACTCGCGTTCGTCTTCAGATGGAGTGCTTTTTTGTTTCGGCAAACGAGGGCAAAAGCTGCCTCTGCTGCATCATCCGAACGAGTTGAATGCCTTCAGTCTCTCACTGGGTTTCAGGAATCCCAATTCCTATATTTCTCTTCGCTGCTCCACCAGAAGGAACTCACTCCAAACATCGGCAAACAAGGTGATGTTTAAAACGGTCGAAGGGGACATCTTGAGACTTTCCGGGCACTTTTGAAGCGGATGGCCAGCGCAACTTGACTCGAAGTTCCGCGTCTTCCGGTGCAGGTGCCGCGCGGCAGCCGGGACAAAAATGGTGCGATGCAGATGCTTCGTTTGGTTTTCGGCGTGGTCTTGCTGGTGCGGTAGGTAGGGAATGTGAAATGGAATGAAGCCAGGCTTTGGTCCCCTGAAAGGAAACCATCGTTCCATTTCTCATTCCCTGCTGAGCACCAGCCAGTAGTTTACGAGAAGAACATGGGTCTGTGTCAATTTTACCGGAAGCTCGTCAAAATATGACAAGTGTATTGGTAGTTTCTGGGGGACATTGGGCCCACTCACATTTCCCACAGAATGCAAGCAGCCCAGCCAATTGTCCCATGACCTGTTGGGAAACAGTCACTTTGTCCGGGCTTGTGTCTTGGTTTTGTCAGAAGCTCAGCCCGCCCCCGTGCTCAACCCGCTGCAACACATGCAGTTGTGCCATAGAGCAAAGCACATGCCATCAAAAACAAGCTCTCAGCTTGAACAGCACCTGTAGCGCATGGCAGCGTTTAGCTCTTTGCGCAGCTCTGAGTGTCACCCAGCTTGTGATTCCCTATCACCAGAGCTAGGGCCATCGCGCCGGGAGCGCAACTGGTTCCCGGTGCAACTCCGGGATCGGCCGATGTGATGGCCGGGAGGCGCCACAGCTTCACCACTTCACTTGTGACGGAGAACGAGTGATCAATGACGATCTGGTTTTTGCTCAGACTTCAAGTGCATGCGAGTCAAGTGGGAGCATGAGCACAGCTTTTGCTATATTGAGGGCTCCAAAAGTTTCTTTGAGGGAGTTCTGAGAAGCTTCGTGCAGGCTTAGGAACAAGCTTCCCGCTGCATTATGTGCGCGCCCAATTGGCCTGCGAGCAAAGTTGGCACGAGGCCCCTTGAGCAATTCCTTGCCTCCCACAAGTGTGGGACAAGGTCTGCGGAGGAGGATGTCTGAACACGTCTCGCCAATTCACCACCAATGAAGTATCTCAGATGACAAGACTTCTGTATCTCGTCTTAGAATCGGGCGGGACCTGCATTCTTTGGGTTCAAGGAATCTTTTTCAAACGCGGCAAATCCGATGCGGGCGCCGAGCGCGCATACTGCACGCCGAGACTGTGTTGCAGGTAGCTCATGTGCTTGCTGATCACTGGAGGCAGGAGGTTGGATGAGCCATTGTTCTGAGATACTTTGCAAATGGAGATGGAGCCCCCCAAAAAAGTGCGGGTATTTTGTCACCAAAATTCGTTCAGGGTTTTTGAGTTTTGGTTTTGGGTTCAGTCTTCGAACATTCGGCGCTTGTGTCCATGGCACGGGCCCCTCTGCCCCTCGATGCCATCCACCGGCCACGGGATTTTTTGAAGGTATGCCCCGCAATATGTGGAACCTCCATGGGTGTGGTTCCCTTTTTGGAGGGGGTCCGACTTTAGTTTTTCTTTTGGGGGGCGAACGGACACCCAACTATTTGGGGTTCTTTAGCTTTTGTTTTTTAAACATTGGGAAAAGGACACCACAAACTATTTGGGGGTTCCCTGATGAGAGAAACCCAAATGGCTTGCCCCAAAGCAGGCAGTTGAGACTTCACGCTGCTCAGGCCACGATGTTTGCTCGAAGTGCAGCGCGTTCCGTGCTGCCCTGAGATTTGTGAATCGCTTGCGGACTTCCTTTCTCCGGAGCTCCTTTTTTATTCGCAAGGGCTATTTGCGGCTGTTCGTGTTGTGGAGTTCCTGGTTCCAGAGTTCCATTTTCAACCCAAAGAGGGTTCTTGGGGATCTTCGTTCTGCACATGAAAGGTGGCACCCAAAGGACCGCCTTGAGGGGTCCAAATGTGAACCTGCGCAAATCGCTTCAACCGCTTCAAGGTACCATCCCGGCCCGGTGAGGCTGCCTCGAGCCCAGGGGTCGCAAGGCACAGCTGCAAAGTGGTGGGGCATGCAAGGGTTGCAACTTCACCCCTTTGGTGTTTACAAGAAAAGGGTGACCAACATGGGGATGGTTTTGGTTTGGTATTTTCCCGCGCTTGCCCTGTCCGAAACCGAGAACGCCAATTGAGTGACCTCTCGTGCGCGGCGGGTAGCTTTCTGAGGTGGAAGTCGAGGAGAGCCTGGGGGTTTTGGCCTGTTGCTCAGTTCAGGCAGCGGGGCATGAGACATTTTGTCGACAGTTGGACTTGGATCGTTGCGGTTCCCCAAAATTGGGAATCCCTTAGCTGGGTTCTTCTGGCTTTCCTCTTGGATTCTTTTGAAACCTATCCAACAGGCGGTCAACATCTGACACGTAAAAGTATTAGTCCCTGTTTGGCTTTTCCTGAGACCGCCCTTTTGCAGTCGGAAATCACGCTTCACAAATCCGGGCATTTCGAAGCAACTGGCCAACTCACAACATGTTTAAATGCCTTCAAAGGGTAAGTTTCCTTTTGGTTGCTTTTTACAACAACCTCACGGATACCTTCGGTGCATGTTGCTTGGATGGTAGGACTTTAAACTTTTTGCCAACTGATGGGTTTTCCGCATTAAACCAGAAAAGGTTAGTCACTTTTGGCGGGGCCTCGCAGATTTCGCAACCGAGATACCGAGCCGGTTCCAACAGGCCCACCCGGAGCCACCCGGGCCAACAGCTCCGGCTGAGGAGCGGGCCCGTCGCTTCGGGACCTCGAAGCTGTCGCTGCCGTGGCCTTGGATTCGACGGCGAGTCACGTATCCGGCCAAGCGCGAAAGGGGGCCATTGAATAGTAGCTGGTTCTACTGCCTGGTTTCATATGATGTATAGTAAGGGGTACATTCTAAATATATATATATATATACACATATATATATATATATAGATCTATGTATACATATATGTATGTATATATATATATGTATATATATAATATATATATATGGGTGTAGTATCATTCAGAGTTGCCAGTAAACACGTTTGCATGCACTGGTATTTACCACATATCGTACGTTTGTCGCCGTCGTGAATTCATGTGTTTTTAACCCTTTCGGGCAGCTGCACACCAGCTCACGCGCACCCGATCAAAGTGGTCCCAGGTTCGCGCGACCAAAGGACACGACCCTGAAGCAAAAGCCCATGTCCAATCGTCTTTCTGAATACCTTGTCCAAACTAATGCGGGCAAGCACATGAAGCTTTCCATGAAGCAGGCAATGGACGCATTTCGCTGGAATGGCAACCGCCCTTTTCCCCAGATATAGCTATAGATCTTCAGGGTGCAAGCAAAAAAAGCGTGCTCTGCGCTGGGCTTTAGGGAACTATGTTCTCAGGGGCGTCCCAAAGTGCAGTTCAGACAAGGTTCCAACGTGCAGTTCGTACTGCTTTGAACTCTTAACGATACTTCGCCGATATTTCTATATATATATATATACATATGTTATATATGTTATATATGTATGTATGTATGTATGTATGTATGTATGTATGTATGTATGTATGTATGTATGTATGTATGTATGTATGTATGTATGTATGTATGTATGTATGTATGTATGTATGTATGTATGTATGTATGTATGTATGTATGTATGTATGTATGTATGTATGTATGTATGTATGTATGTATGTATGTATGTATGTATGTATGTATGTATGTATGTATGTATGTATGTATGTAATGTATGTATGTATATGTATGTATGTATGTATGTATGTATGTATGTATGTATGTATGTATGTATGTATGTATGTATGTATGTATGTATGTATGTATGTATGTATGTATGTATGTATGTATGTATGTATGTATGTATGTATGTATGTATGTATGTATGTATGTATGTATGTATGTATGTATGTATGTATGTATGTATGTATGTATGTATGTATGTATGTATGTATGTATGTATGTATGTATGTATGTATGTATGTATGTATGTATGTATGTATGTATGTATGTATGTATGTATGTATGTATGTATGTATGTATGTATGTATGTATGTATGTATGTATGTATGTATGTATGTATGTATGTATGTATGTATGTATGTATGTATGTATGTATGTATGTATGTATGTATGTATGTATGTATGTATGTATGTATGTATGTATGTATGTATGTATGTATGTATGTATGTATGTATGTATGTATGTATGTATGTATGTATGTATGTATGTATGTATGTATGTAATGTATGTATGTATGTATGTATGTATGTATGTATGTATGTATGTATGTATGTATGTATGTATGTATGTATGTATGTATGTATGTATGTATGTATGTATGTATGTATGTATGTATGTATGTATGTATGTATGTATGTATGTATGTATGTATGTATGTAATGTATGTATGTATGTATGTATGTATGTATGTATGTATGTATGTATGTATGTATGTATGTATGTATGTATGTATGTATGTAATGTATGTATGTATGTATGTATGTATGTATGTATGTATGTATGTATGTATGTATGTATGTATGTATGTATGTATGTATGTATGTATGTATGTATGTATGTAATGTATGTATGTATGTATGTATGTATGTATGTATGTATGTATGTATGTATGTATGTATGTATGTATGTATGTATGTATGTATGTATGTATGTATGTATGTATGTATGTATGTATGTATGTATGTATGTATGTATGTATGTATGTATGTATGTATGTATGTATGTATGTATGTATGTATGTATGTATGTATGTATGTATGTATGTATGTATGTATGTATGTATGTATGTATGTATGTATGTATGTATGTATGTATGTATGTATGTATGTAATGTATGTAATGTAATGTAATGTAATGTAATGTAATGTAATGTAATGTAATGTAATGTAATGTGTATGTAATGTATGTATGTATGTATGTATGTATGTATGTATGTATGTATGTATGTATGTATGTATGTATGTATGTATGTATGTATGTATGTATGTATGTATGTATGTATGTATGTATGTATGTATGTATGTATGTATGTATGTATGTATGTATGTATGTATTAATGTATGTATGTATGTATGTATGTATGTATGTATGTATGTATGTATGTATGTATGTATGTATGTATGTATGTATGTATGTATGTATGTATGTATGTATGTAATGTATGTATGTATGTATGTATGTATGTATGTATGTATGTATGTATGTATGTATGTATGTATGTATGTATGTATGTATGTATGTATGTATGTATGTAATGTAATGTATGTATGTATGTATGTATGTATGTATGTATGTATGTATGTATGTATGTATGTATGTATGTATGTATGTATGTATGTATGTATGTATGTATGTATGTATGTATGTATGTATGTATGTATGTATGTATGTATGTATGTATGTATGTATGTATGTATGTATGTATGTATGTATGTATGTATGTATGTATGTATGTATATGTATGTATGTATGTATGTATGTATGTATGTATGTATGTATGTATGTATGTATGTATGTATGTATGTATGTATGTATGTATGTATGTATGTATGTATGTATGTATGTATGTATGTATGTATGTATGTATGTATGTATGTATGTATGTATGTATGTATGTATGTATGTATGTATGTATGTATGTATGTATGTATGTATGTATGTATGTATGTATGTATGTATGTATGTATGTATGTATGTAATGTAATGTAATGTAATGTAATGTAATGTAATGTAATGTAATGTAATGTAATGTAATGTAATGTAATGTAATGTAATGTATGTATGTATGTAATGTAATGTATGTATGTATGTATGTATGTATGTATGTATGTATGTATGTAATGTATGTATGTATGTATGTATGTATGTATGTATGTATGTATGTATGTATGTATGTATGTAATGTAATGTAATGTATGTATGTATGTAATGTATGTATGTAATGTATGTATGTAATGTAATGTAATGTAATGTAATGTAATGTAATGTAATGTAATGTAATGTATGTATGTATGTATGTATGTATGTATGTAATGTATGTATGTATGTAATGTATGTATGTAATGTATGTATGTATGTATGTATGTATGTATGTATGTATGTATGTATGTATGTATGTATGTATGTATGTATGTATGTATGTATGTATGTATGTATGTATGTATGTATGTATGTATGTATGTATGTATGTATGTATGTATGTATGTATGTATGTATGTATGTATGTATGTATGTATGTATGTATGTATGTATGTATGTATGTATGTATGTATGTATGTATGTATGTATGTATGTATGTATGTATGTATGTATGTATGTATGTATGTATGTATGTATGTATGTATGTATGTATGTATGTATGTATGTATGTATGTATGTATGTATGTAATGTATGTATGTATGTATGTATGTATGTATGTATGTATGTATGTATGTATGTATGTATGTATGTATGTATGTATGTATGTATGTATGTATGTATGTATGTATGTATGTATGTATGTATGTATGTATGTATGTATGTATGTATGTATGTATGTATGTATGTATGTATGTATGTATGTATGTATGTATGTATGTATGTATGTATGTATGTATGTATGTATGTATGTATGTATGTATGTATGTATGTATGTATGTATGTATGTATGTATGTATGTATGTATGTATGTATGTATGTATGTGTATGTATGTATGTATGTATGTATGTATGTATGTATGTATGTATGTATGTATGTATGTATGTATGTATGTATGTATGTATGTATGTATGTATGTATGTATGTATGTATGTATGTATGTATGTATGTATGTATGTATGTATGTATGTATGTATGTATGTATGTATGTATGTATGTATGTATGTATGTATGTATGTATGTATGTATGTATGTATGTATGTATGTATGTATGTATGTATGTATGTATGTATGTATGTATGTATGTATGTATGTATGTATGTATGTATGTATGTATGTATGTATGTATGTATGTATGTATGTATGTATGTATGTATGTAATGTATGTATGTAATGTATGTATGTATGTATGTATGTATGTATGTATGTATGTATGTATGTATGTATGTATGTATGTATGTATGTATGTATGTATGTATGTATGTATGTATGTATGTATGTATGTATGTATGTATGTATGTATATGTATGTATGTATGTATGTATGTATGTATGTATGTATGTATGTATGTATGTATGTATGTATGTATGTATGTATGTATGTATGTATGTATGTATGTATGTATGTATGTATGTATGTGTATGTAATGTATGTATGTATGTATGTATGTATGTATGTATGTATGTATGTAATGTATGTATGTATGTATGTATGTATGTATGTATGTATGTATGTATGTATGTATGTATGTATGTATGTATGTATGTATGTATGTATGTATGTATGTATGTATGTATGTATGTATGTATGTATGTATGTATGTATGTATGTATGTATGTATGTATGTATGTATGTATGTATGTATGTATGTATGTATGTATGTATGTATGTATGTATGTATGTATGTATGTATGTATGTATGTATGTATGTATGTATGTGTATGTATGTATGTATGTATGTATGTATGTATGTATGTATGTATGTATGTATGTATGTATGTATGTATGTATGTATGTATGTATGTATGTATGTGTATGTATGTATGTATGTATGTATGTATGTATGTATGTATGTATGTATGTATGTATGTATGTAATGTATGTATGTATGTATGTATGTATGTATGTATATGTATGTATGTATGTATGTATGTATGTATGTATGTATGTATGTATGTATGTATGTATGTATGTATGTATGTATGTATGTATGTATGTATGTATGTATGTATGTATGTATGTATGTATGTATGTATGTATGTATGTATGTATGTATGTATGTATGTATGTATGTAATGTAATGTAATGTAATGTAATGTAATGTAATGTAATGTAATGTAATGTAATGTAATGTAATGTAATGTAATGTAATGTAATGTAATGTAATGTAATGTAATGTAATGTAATGTAATGTAATGTAATGTAATGTAATGTAATGTAATGTAATGTAATGTAATGTAATGTAATGTAATGTAATGTAATGTAATGTAATGTAATGTAATGTAATGTAATGTAATGTAATGTAATGTAATGTAATGTAATGTAATGTAATGTAATGTAATGTAATGTAATGTAATGTAATGTAATGTATGTAATGTATGTAATGTATGTAATGTATGTATGTATGTATGTATGTATGTATGTATGTATGTATGTATGTATGTATGTATGTATGTATGTATGTATTAGTATATATATATGTCTGTCTGTCCTCCTCTCTCTCTCTCTATATATATATATATATGAGTCTTAGACACATGTGAGGTGGGCTTTGTCTATCCTTCGGGATGGACGAGTTTACATTGTGGAGAAAAAGACAGGACGAGCTCTAGATGTATGATGTCTTGGGTGAACAAGTAAATCTGACCCCTGAGAGGACGGGATGACCATCAAGCCAAAACTCTTTTTTAGCAATCAAGAAAGCATCTTTTCGGTATCAAACAAAACGCCTATTCTAGCAATTCAAAGAACCAGCTTTCCACAATCCCTCTGTATTGCTTGTAGACTTGTGGTCCTTTGGTCCTTTGGTCCAGTCTTGGTCCTTTGGTCTCCTCTCCGGCAGGTGGCTTTTGGCTTTTGCAGCCTTTCGTTGGTTTTTGGCTTTGGCTCCCCGCATCCTCAGCATCACCCGTTCCGCTCCGTAATGTCTATGTTCTTGTATGTATGCCGGTGATCAATGTAATCTATGTATGTATGTATGTATGTCTGTACGTATGCACTTCTTCGAACAGCTTTTTAGATTTTTAAACATGCACCCCGCTGCTTTCTAGAAATTTTGCTCAGATTCAATCGCATCATGGGTGGGCAGATTCTGAATCATCACTTTTTCGAACATCAAGAGGGGGTTCCCCGGTTCTTTTTCACAAATCGGAAACAGGCCAGGTTGTCTGGCCTGGTAGCTGTAGACTAACCTCCAGAACTTGGGGTAGAACCTTCATATCAGAACGGCCAAGAGCACACCTGCTTTTCCTTTTCAGGCGTACTTGTTTGCCACCCCCGCATGTCTCGGCGTCGATGGTGTCCTTCGACGGACGAAGCCCGGGCCCAGGCAGCGGCTGGTTTTCGTGCACGAGCTCGTGGAGTGCGCGCACGACATAGGCTGCCTCAGCGGGTTGGAAGCGAGCGGTTTGAGCGTGAACTCCCATGGGCCCTGTTAGATGGTTCTGAAAACCTGGTTTCGGGCTTCAGGGAGGTGGGGGCGGGGGGGCAAAGGGCCATACGACTTGTATGAACTTTTATGGCTATGTTGGTAGAACTAAAGGGAATGGCGTTCATCCCTTGAGAACGTTGGTTCCTTTTTTGAGAAGAAGGTTGTTTTTAGGGACAAGTTTTAGGGGTTCCCCTATGTTTTGCTTGTTTTTGCGGCTGCTCTTTTCGGCGGAAGTTATTTCATCGGACAACCAAAGCAATTTTGGGGTGTCCTTATTTGACACAAATCCATTTGGTAGTGAGTTTCAATAGGTCAAAGACTCTCTGAATGACGTCGGTTACACGAGGATTCTCGTCAAACGTTTGGAGGGTTGATCAAAGAGAGAGGGGTCCCAGGTTTGGGCCAACAAACTGCCTCCCCTTTGAACAAGCCTCGTTTGAGGCACTTTCTGTGACTTCCAACATGCTGAGTAATGTACTGGCTGAGCCCCGACCATCCCAAGCAGAGCGGCCGGTGCAGGCTACGATGCCACAGTGGCATACCTCCTGCCAAGCGCTTGGCGGATGGATCTCAGCTGGGAGCATCCTTCACATGTGGACATAAACATCCCCCAAGTGGGTTCACCGAGCTAAACAAGAACACATACCACGCCGCCCCGTGGTGCTTCAGCGCGGATTTATAAAATTTGGGGTCGAGTCAAGTCGCTCCCGACGCCGAAGCGATTCGAGGCCCCTGGTCCAAAACCTGGTGACGGATCCAGAGGCGTCCACCCGAGCCGAGCTGAGAAGAGCTCTGCACGCGAGTCGTTTGCAAAGGCTGTTGATCGAAATTACAGGCTGACAGCCTGAAAGCCACAGTCATACGGCCATGGATCAAAAGCCCGTATCCCCAGCGAACATCCGAATCCCCACTAAAATAGGTTGTAAAATGGGTGGTGCATTCACCAATCCCAACCAAAATGGGATCAACCACAAAAAGTTAACGACCACCACAGCCACATCACCTCTCTTGAGCCTTGAGCCGCTTATATTTTTGTTTTTGTTTTTGGGGAGGCCCGAAGGTTCAAAGCAGCGAACTCGCAGACTCGACTCGCAGACTCGCAGGTGCTGGTGCGACAGTCCTTGATGGAGCGCTTCGGCGACCTGGCAGGCGGAGACTCGGGTTTTTCGGAGACTCGGGCTGTAGCTCGAAGCTCCAAGCGCACAAAGCAACTCACGAGTTCTTCCACGTGGTATGTGAATGGTCAAAATGACTTGTTTCCAGGACATGGGCTCCATGCAAATGGTCATCATTACTTGTTCCCAGGACTTAGGTTCCATGTGAAAGGTCAAAATGAGTTTTCCCCAGGACATAGGCTCCATGTGAATGGTCAAAATGACTTGTTGCCAGGACTTAGGCTCCATGTGAATGGTCAAAATGACTTGTTCCCAGGACATAGGCTCCATGTAAATAGTCAAAATGACTTGTTGCCAGGACATAGGCTCCATGTGAATGGTCAAAATTGCTCTTGTTCCAGGACTTGGGCTCCATGCAAATGGTCATCATTACTTGTTCCCAGGACTTGGGTTCCATGTGAACGGTCAAAATGACTTGTTTTCAGGACTTGGGCTCCATGTGAATGGTCAACATTTCTTGTCCCCAGGACTTAGGCTCCATGTGAATGGTCAAAATTACTTGTTCCCAGGACTTAGGTTTTCTGGGAACAAGTAGTTTTGACCATTCACATGGAACCTAAGTCCTGGGAACAAGTAATGATGACCATTCATTCACATGGAACCTATGTCCCGGGAACAAAAAGGCAATTTTGACCATTCACATGGAGCCTGACTGGGGGATGGGTTTCCTCGAAAAGGAATAAATTTGAGGTGGGGTTCCCCGGCAATGTATGAGGGCGCTTTTTGTCTTTTCTCCGTTCGCCCACGACACCAAAGAGGCTTGTCGTCTGAACTTCTGCAAGATGTGCTTTTATGAGTTTTGGGGCTGAACGGCTGCCATATCGTGAAGTCTGGGGCCGTGTTTAGACGCATCCCTCCGCTTTCCTTGCACTCTCAGCTGACGCAGCCCGAATTGATGAATCCATTTGGCGTGGCTGATGGTAGTACTCAAAGTATGGTGCCCGAAATGCACTCCGAAAATGGCACCTCGGTATATGGAAAGAACGACGAAACCTGCGTAACCCTTGCTTCTAACATCAAGCCACACCCATTTGTATGAGCTTCTTGACAGCTTGAAACCTTTTTGGCAGTTGTTTTGGGGGATGGGCTCGTCAACCTTTGCTGCTCTGAACGCACCTCATGCCCTAAGTCCCGGGTGTTTTCTTAAATCACGAAAGGAAGTTTCTCCGTAAGCAAGGTAAGGGGCTGAAATGCCGAAAGTTTGATTTTATCAATTATCTGAGCCATTTTTTAATTTAGACCCTCCCCCCCTTCCCCCGCCCCCCCCGTCCCCCCCCCCACACGTTCCCGGACCCGTTTGCGTGTGGCCTCCTGAGCATCCTTGCGGCGCCTCTCATGGCGCGCAAGCTACCTATGGAATCTATTCAGTTTCCAACCCGTTTTAAACAACAGTTGCTAGCTTTCGTTCACCCCCTCCTCAAGTGCAATGGTTTCCCCCGTCTAAAGTGCCATGATATCAGCGAAATCAGTGAGAATTCAGGACACATTTAGCAAACTGAAGAAGTTTGTGACAGGGCCGCAGTTTTGATGTTTCTCAGAACCGCCCAGACGGAGTTTCCTCTAACCAGGCTTGTTCAGCATGTCAAGTTAGTCAGCTGACTAATTTCTGGCAGGCCGCTGTTCTCAACGAGCATTCGCTCCACTCAAGCACACTGGCGTTTGCAGCGCCTGCCAGGCTTTCTCATCCAAGCAGATCCCGAGAAGGGCTATGAGAAGGTCGGGCCCATGAGCTGTGCGCAGAATCATGCTGACCACTCGTCTCATTTTGATAGTGGTCTCATCAGGGTTGGGTCGATCCGTTGGTTGAATAGGTCTAGACCACCGTCGTTGAAACAGCCCTCCTATGGATTCTCTTTAACGGGCACTCATTTTTGCTTGTCAACGCAGACTGACAGAGAGGCAAACATGAAAGCCAGGACGAGGACAATCAACATCCCACCCCAGACTAGCGATGGTTGGCATCGTCAGAACAAGCTTATCAGCGGCACCGTCAGCGCAGCACGCTGCTGAATTGAACCCTGGTGCGGCAATTAGCAGATGCGCCACAGCATGGCGTGAGTGGTGCGTGCTCCGCATACTGTAAGAAAGCACGGACAACGTGGGCTGGAAGCCGGGCATAGCCCACATTTCCAACACATGTGTTCTACAAGTGAATGTTGTTTGCTTGCTCCGTCCACTGGAGCAGAGTGATTAGCGGATTTGGGCACAACTGCAAACCAGAGCAAGCAGACCCGCCCCCTGCAAAAGACTTGACATGTCCCCAAACTGTGGATCAACAACAAACGGCTTGGTTTCCTGTTTTGGTTCCCCCCGAGTTCCTTGTTTGGTTTCCCTTTCGACGTCCAAGAGGGCATCCCCCCTCCTTTCTATCACGCATACCCCAGAGTACCGGTTGTCAAGCCTGTTGATCCCGATGTGCCCTCACCCAGCCTTTGGTAAAGTGGGTGTGGTGTGTCTTTTCGTTTTTGGGTCATCCTGGGCTGTGTTTCAAGGGAGACGGTTGGGGTCTATTTTGAGACGCACCCAGGCCATCAATGACTGAAAAGGCCCTGCTCTTTTTTTTGCAAACAGCCGGGTGGAACCGGGGAACCCATGGAACCCCCCCCAAAGGAAAAAATAAGCGAGTGCTCGGAAAAAACCGGGTGCCAAAAACACATCGCACCGGGGGAATTCTGGAACCCATGGGGCCCCCAAAAAAAAACTGGGCGCCCCAAGACAAAACGCAAGGGGAGCCGGTGGAAAAGCCTCCAAAACTTCCCCGCCCGCAGCTTCGCGCCGGCAGCTTCGTGCAGCTGTTGCAGGTGGCTCGCGCGCTGCTGCCCACGGCCAAGCTGCTCCTGGCCGAGAAGGCCAACGACGTGCCTCGGCGTGCGGTTTTTCTTGGGCGCCTTGGGGGTCAACTTGCGGCTCCTTCGGGGTTCCCTTTGGGTTTTTTGAAGGTTCCTTGTTTGTTGTTTTGTTTTTTTAGGGGTTCTTTAGGGGTTCTGGGGTTCCTTGAGGTTCCTTGCGATTGAGGTTCCTCAGATTTCCTTGGTGTCCCCCGGGTTTCCCCCGGGTTTGCTTGGGGTTCCTTAGGGTTCCTGAGGGGCTCTTGGCGGTTCCGGGGCTTGGGGCTGGGAAGATTTCCCATCGTTTCAACTGGTGCCTAAGCAGCCCGTTGCAAACCTGGAGATGGGCATCCTTGGACAGAATGTGGAAGTTTGACTCTGGAGCAGTGGCCTTCTAAGCAGGTTTTTCCCACCTTACGCGGGGTTTACTAGGCATCCTGGAGCCTTCAATTGGGAGAGGAAGCCGCACGCCTATTGACCCCATCTGAAGGGTTTGTGTTGGTCTCCCCAAAGGTTCCTCGCATGTCCCGAGTAGTTTGCTTCAACCTCACCCTTCCTTGGCCTATTTTTCTTGGAGCTCCCTTTGGTAGTGCTCAGAGGGGCATGCACCCTGTTTGAAACCACACATGCCCGGGGTCCAGAGACAGGGGTCGGCAATTTCATCCTTGGACCTCAAGCCTGGACCATTCCAGCATGGGTTTTGGAAGATGGATGGCCCGTCGTGCCAAGAATTTGGCAGGTGGATTGACCGAACAAAGATTGACCCGGCTTGATCAACAAAAGAGAGGCTCATTTTGAGACACTTCCATGAACCCTCAAAATATGAAGCAGGGGTTCAGTCCTCGCACCTTTCGACCCAAGTGTTTTAAAGGTGCGGCAGAGCGCCATCGACGCCTTCATCACCTTGGCCTCGCACCTGCGCGCTGGAGATTGCGGGGACCAGGCGGAAGCGACGGCCGTGCGGAAGTGAGGTAGGGCTTTTGTTGGGTTGGGTTCCAAAAGAGACCAAAGGGAAAAGCACGTTTTTGGGTTGGTGAAGGGAAACCGGACAGACAGGGCCCATCTTTATATTTCTTCTCTCCAAATACTGGAGAGTCTGGAGATTGGAAAGGCAAGCGGTCGCCAAATGTCGACCAGAGCAAAAGGTACCTCTTCTAAATTGGCTTGAACGGAAACCCATAGAGAAAGCACTCACGTTTGAAGTGTATTGTGGGTGTGCCTTCTTCCCCGTTTGACAATTGGAATCCGGAGCATCTTGAGCTTTTCTCAAGATAGGATTCGGACGACACTTTGGGTTGGGATTCCAAGGCAAACCAAAAGAAAAGGACACTAACCATTCTAATGGACCATTTGGATTTGGTGGGACTATTTGGCAATTTGAGCTTTTGGGGACATGCGAACATGGGGTGGGCTGACTTTTGTCCCCCACATTTTCTCGGAAAAAGGGACACCAAGGTTTCTCCCCACAAACCAGGGTACAAATATACTAGTTGTCCAAGGTTCCACATATTTCCGTGGCTCATGTCCTGTGACCTTGAGCTGAACGCCGTCGAGGACCCCAAAGGTTACTTTTGAACCGTGGGGGGCCCTTTGGTTTTTCCCCTAGCCAAGTTATGTAGCACATGTTACTTCAGCTTTTTTTGGGGGTCACCCTCGAAGATGGCTAGTGGCCACTCCCCCATGCAAATGTCCGCTGCAGAAATTGGATCCCCTTGTTTGTTAATGTTGAGTGGGCGTTCAGCAGGAACCGAAGCTTTTGGAGTCCACCAAGTTTCCTGGGCCCTCACCTTCGAGTCACCCGAGCTGTTCCAAAACTGCCAGGTGTTGATGCCCGTGATCGCGCTCTCGCAGAGCAACGATGACGAGGACGGAAAGGGGTTCAGGGACCCTAAACGGGTTCGAAGAAATGGGTTCCAGCTTGCACCAAAGGACAATGAAGCTGTTGAAAGGATGGTTCAGCCCGCCTTTTGGGCCAATGATGGAGTTTCATTGCCCTTTGGTAGTCTCCCCGTAGACAGCCAAGAGTTTGAGGGGTGCTCAAAGTTGCTTTTTTGGTTTGCTTCCTTCTAACCCGCCATAGTAGAGGTCTTTCCCATGGACCCAGTGAGGGAGAGTCGAGACTCGAACGAATGACGCCGCACCCCCTCTTTCGAAAGGTTCCTCAGTTGGAACGTCAGGTTTTTCGCTCGAAGAAACCCACATTTTCCCCAAGAGGGGCGCATGACATATCTACGGAAGGGGTTCGACCCATGCTCTTCACCCAGCTTCCGGGTGCTTCTTCTGCTCCCTCGGGATCCATCGCAACCCTTTGGTGAGGGGACTAGCCCAGAACTGGGGGGGCGTTTCTCAAAAAAAGGGGGAAAACTCCCCTTGCCATGCAAAAAGGGCACCCCAATTGTGAGAAACGTCAGGTTGTTCCCGGATTTTCATAAGCCCGTGCTATTCATTGGTGTCACCTCTCGTTCCCTGCCCCTCTCGCACCAGAAAAACAAAATGAATGCAGAAACAAGGGAATGAACCTGGGGATTCCCTTAAAGGAGCCTGTTGGACGGTTTAAAGGGGCTTTCTGGGACACCCGAAAGGAGGCGAGAAGCACTGCCGTGCAGCTGCTCAGCAGCCTTGCGGAGGCAAAGGACCTGTTTGGTTTCCGTGTAAAAGCCACGAAAAGGGGGCACCCTCAACAAAGGACACACCCACACAATGAGCAAGCAAGTCCAGCTGCTTTGTGTGTCTCAAAGAAAGGGGACACCCAAACAGGATGAGCAAGGGTCAAAGTTTGCCGCCATTTGCTCTAGCAAGGATGGCATGGGTCACGCGGGCCTCGCGACTACCATTAGGACGTGGGGGGTACTCACCAATATCCTATGTCAGCCGGGGACGTAATGAATATTGACCGTGGCTCAGGGATGCATCATGTGAACAAGAGACCTGGACCCTCAAATCCGGCTTCGGCAATAGTTTTAGGGTTCCTGTATGGTCCCCCTACCGCAAAAATGGTACCCTGGGGCCCTGGGGTAATCAGTTTTGTCGTCTCAAAGAGGTCTTCAGGCACTCCGCCGGGCCAGTCTCCCCGTTGTGATTTTAGTGATGCTCCCTTTAACATCACCTTGTGTTTCCTTTTGGGGCGATGTTTTTTGGTTGGACCTAATCAGGATGTTTGTTTGGGTATGTGTCTTTTTGAGGTCACCTACTTTCACGCATACGCATATGGGTGCGTCATTTGAATAAGCATCATTTTGTTCTCGGAGTGTCACCCACAAAAGTGAACGATTCCCACTAAACGGGGACACTTCCCGATCAAAATCAGCCAGGGGTTTATGAATCCGGGGTCAACCATTCTTGTCCTGTCCACATGCAACCTGGACTGAGCCCTGAAGACGATCCCTTTCAAATGGACCGAGCCAAGAGGCCCTCCAACACACAAAGCACCTGGTACGTGGAAGATTGTTTGTGTCAGGTTTCCATGGCGGGAGGGAGGCTCGCTACCTTTCCTCCCTCTTTGTAGGGAGATCTGGGTGTGTCTTTTTGTGAGGCCAGCCCTTTTTGGGTAGTTCAAAAAAGCAAAATCAACAGGAAAACCACATTTTTGCGGGATAAGTATCAAGAACACCTATTAAGCATCAAATTAAAGTTTGGACGCCTCACCCGTTTCTGTTGTTTTTGACACCTCCCTCTACTTTCTTTTCTTTGGGTGGGGCAGGAGAAAGGTGGCCTCCATGCAAGAACAAGAATCCGGTGCCAGGCCCTGGGCCCGGACCTGTGCAAGCAGTTCGTGGGTGTGCAGCTCGAAGCCTTCTGCGAGGAGCGAAACCACGAACCGCGCGACGCGAGACGAACCGCGAGCCCCGCGCCGCGCGCGAAATGGAAATGCGGCGGGTCCGACGGGTGGGTTTTGTTTTTTGGGCCCGGGTGGCTGTGGGTGCAAAAAACAAATGGTATCTGCCAGAAGGACCGGACGCAGGTTGTAGTGCTTAGGAGACCTTAGGTGGGTCTGGGTCAACAAATTGGCATCCACCAGGGGACCGGACCGCAGGTTTTGGTTGGTTTTAGTCCTAGGACACCTCATCCAGGTGGTCTTTAAGAGATGAGATGGGGCCCCAGGGCCAGGGAAGACAACACTCTCACGCGTTCGCAACGCCGGCAAGAGCAGTGCGACGCGTGGAAGTTCGTGTGGCAAAAGGCCTATCGAAAGGGCCGAAAGTGGATAGGAGGCGTGATGGAAAGAGAGGACACCCACTCACCTTCATTGGTCCTTGAGTGGTCCAGTGGTGGGGAATGGATCTCTTGCAAATGCGTCTGAACTCCAAGTTTCAATTGTTACAACCTGGCGACCAAGAATCATCTAACCCATTCGCTCCCTTTCCCTTTCATTTCGGGAGAAGCTAAGATGGAAAGGAAGGGGACTCCGTCCATTTTCGAAGCACCCACATGTCATGCTTGGGTGCGAGAAAGAGGGACGGACAGTGCGAGAAGGAATGAGTTTCTTTCGCCTACGGAATGGATCCAAGATGAAGTGATGGCGAGTGAAGAGAGAGACATTCCTTCCCTCACACCCATCCAACCTTCATCTACATCCTAACATCGCTCATTTTGGTGACATTTGTTTACATTCTGATGTTGGGTGTTAATGAAGTAGTATTGGCGGGAAACCAGCAAAACCAACCTACTGCGGGGGTTCTATAAGTCTGGTCCGATGGTCCAAGCGGCACAGCGGCATGGGAGCCCTCATTTTCCCATCTCCTCTTCACAAGGAATGTTGACTGTGCCTCACGCGGTATGGAAATGGTGGGAATACTACCCCCCCTTGGTATTTTAATGGTTGGAATACCGTGGCGTGAAATGGGGTTGGAGTTGA